CAATTATGTAACCGGTCTCTCGATTGACAGCTAGAATATGTCCCTCGGATCCAACCTGACCGTTTTTATATTTTATAATTGCTTGCTTCCAATGCGCTTTTTATCTCTCTCTCTCCCTCTCCCTCTCTCATCGTTCGTCCTCGCTGTATTATTATTTTCATTTTTATTTATTTATTTATTTATTTATTCTTTTTGTTTCTCTTTTATCGTATTTTTTTTCTTTTTTTTTTAATTTTTATTTTTGCGTCGTCATTAATATCGTTATTGCGTTTTGTCCGAACGACTGTCAGGGTTTCGCGTGGAAGGGGAATAAATGGAAAACGATGTAACACGAGCGTCACGGTTTTCTATATTTATATATTTCGCAGTGGTAAAGGAGCATGTTTAGTTTGAGGGAATAACAGCGTATCTCGAGAATAGATTATTATTAGGTTGACTTAGTGGGCAATTAAACCCGATGCAATCGCGGTAGGAAATAGCTGTGCTATTGAAGTATTAGAGTTAACGAAGTAATTGTGCGTTTTTGCACAACAACCGGTAACGTGGCTGCATTCTGAATCGGAATTAAATAACGAGACTATTATTCTCGTCTATATTTAGACGATAATTATATATCCTTTCTTTTCCTCCACGCTGAAAACGGGAGTGGTACGTTGTAATTACGAGAGCACACGCGTTTTGCCAGCGGATGGACGAGCGACGAATCGTCGATATAAATTATACGAAACGGCCGATCTTGCCGCGTGTGGACTTTGGCGGGAAAATTGGGCCCGTTCGGCAGCGGGAGGGGGGGAGCGCGCGAGTAAACGCGAGGACGCGAGGGACCGAGGAATGGCCGCAAAGTAGACGGGTTTTCCTTTTTTCGCACGGTTCCTATCGGATATTCCGAATTACGATGGAATAATCTTTCTCATCGGCGCGAAAGCACGGGACATCGCATTTGCGATTCCATACGCTCGCTCGTATTCGTATTAACTAGCGGCTCCGTAGCGTAGAATTTCTTCGAAAACTCGATGGTCGGTTAAGAAACGATCGGGTCCAGGTGATCTTCTCGATCCCGTGTCTTTTTTCCGTCGTAATTCCTGCGAGATGTGCGACTCGCCTCGTTGGCCGGCGTCTCGGCGCGTATCGTACACGAGTACGCGCGTGTCTTTGCTTTTTCCCTCGGCTACCTCGCGATGGGCGACGATAAAAAAATTTAATCCATCGCAGCCGGATGATTCGTCTTTGGAGGTCTCGAAACTGAAAGCTTTTACCGAAATGGTCTTTTGGAAAAATCGAGGAAAAGAAGAGCCCCCGGGATATATATATACATATATATATATTAGCGGAGGAATGGCGGGCAGCAGTTTTCCTAAATTTGATATTTCATTTGGCTAAGTACGTTTCCTTGCTCGTAATACGCCGCTTCAATTACGCGGTATCGTTTAATTAAATTATGCAGAAAATTAAGCATTCCGTTCGCGTATGACGGGGAATATAGCGAGTGAAACTTGGTTAAAAAGTTCCGGTCTAAGGTGCATTTCTAAAATAAGTTTCGAGAAAATTAAATTGCGCTCGGTAATATATCGGATAAGATTAGATACGTTTACTTTATAATAACCACGTACACAGGCGCGCGCGCGACGTACACTCGGTACGAAGTGTTTCAGGCACGTACAAAGTTTCAAAGCATCCTTTTGCATTAACGGCATTTGCATTCCGGATGCCGTGCAATCTCTTTGATTGATATCGCGATAATATGAAAATGATCTGACTCGCAAAACCTATCGACTCGTCCTTTCGTTCCTCTTATTTTAATGCATTTTTTCGCCCCATTCTTTCTCGCGATACCCTTTCTCGGTACGCTAATGAAATCCATGGTCGGGAGCCGGCCGATATTACGATTATCTAACCATCTCGGTTACGATCGCGTTCCATTGGTATCGTCCGATACGTACCTTCATCGATATCGTGGATATCGTGAAAATCGTGGAAATCGTGGAAATCGTTGAGATCGTTGAAATCGTGCATCGATACGCGAGTAATTATCGGGTTAATCCCCGTTAATCCGAGCCGAGTGAGGCACGGTAGCGCGAAAAGTAGCGCGAAAAGCAGCGCGAAAAGTAACGCGAAAAGTAGCGCGAAAAGCAGCGCGAAAAGTAACGCGAAAAGTAACGCGAAAAGTAGCGCGAAAAGTAGCGCGAAAAGTTGGGGGAAAAATTCGGTTTCGGCAGCGATTCCGCGTGATTGATGCGCAGCCTGCGCGTGATGCACTTCTGCATTCGGAATTGCACAGAACCGCGTCGCTGCCCTCGCGTGCTTCGTTAATCACGCACGTTGACGGTTGAATCTTGGCAAAAAGAAAAGGGGAGAAGGAAAGAAGTGAACGCATTGGCGAGAGAGCGAAAGAGAGAGAGAGAGAGGAGTGGGGAGAAGGCATAAAAGACACGAATGCGAGTCGTTGCTCGCTTTGCTGTTCGCACAGGAAGCTCATCGAGAGTTATGCGCAGGACTGTACTACGTGCACCGTGCACGCTTCGTTTATCGAATTTCTTTTTTTTTTTTATTTTATTTTCTTCTTTTTCCTCTTTTTTTTCATTAACCCTCTTCTTTTTCTCCTTCGTCTTCTTCTTCTGCCTCTACTTTTTCTTCTTTTTCCTCTTCTTCTTCTTCCTCTTCTTCTTTCTCTTCTGCTGCTTTACTTTCCGTAAAATAATAAACTTCTTTTTTCTGTCTCATTTCTTCTCTCTTTTTTCCGCCTCGCTACTTTAACGACACGGGCAATTTTTTTTTGCAGGATAAATGAAAATCTTGCTACGTATATATTATAGATGCACTCGTACGCGTACATCACGGTCTAAAAGTTTCAGAGAAATTGCCCGGTGTTTGCAAACGCGTCTCCGAAAGTTAGTACACTGCTGTATACTTATTGAAATTACCGGTTATGCCTTAGTCGACGTATGTTTGCGATCTACTCGATAAAGTAATCTGCTCTTATCTCGGTATGAGTCTTCTTTGGAAGCTCATTTTTAAATGTCACTCGAGTATAAATAACCCATCCGAAGAAGGATCGTATCGATAATCTATGCTTCTCCAAAAGTGGCGTAAAATTGCTATAAAATCGTGTATGGCCCGCGCGTGTTTCAGGAACGGCTTTATTTTCCAGGCGCGCGCGCGCCCGCCGAAACAACCGATATTCCTATTACGGACTGTACGCGAAGCCATTTTGAATCTTCCTTGGAAAATTTATTACTTTACCTTCATTAGTTTCCACGTTATCCGAGTTTAAACACGCTGTATCGTTTTCTATTCAGTCTCGCAAATGAGCTCAAGGTTTATTAATGAACGTCAACCGACCAAAGTAAAATTTCGTAATTGAAGGTCATAATCGAAGTGTTGCAAATTAATCAGGGAAAAGACGTTCGTCTCGATTAGCCGCGAATCGTGTCTTTTGTCATTGCGTGAATTTTTAATTCTTTCCATTTTTATTTTATATTTTTTATTTTTTCCTTTCGTCGAGGAACCGAACGAACGAGTTTCGGTGCTTGTTTATCGAGCAACAACGAAGGTGTCGCAGGTTTTTAAAACGCTTTTTAAAGGAAGCACATTGTTACAAATGAGGGCCGCTGGCGTGGGATATGAGTCATCTAACGACTTGTTTCACTTGACGAACATCCATAAAACCGAACTGACGGCTTACAAATAAGCATACTCGACACCGGCCTTTAAAACTACTCCGATCTTTCGCTGACAACGAACCTCGCCTTATTTTCGCCCGCCAGATTTCCCATAATATTAATAACCGTGATTACCCGGCCGGATATCGATTCGTTTAAACTCGAAAGATTAACCCTTAGAAAAGCCGAGCCTTTAGTCATCCTAAAGGAAAGGTTCCTCGATTTTTCCTATATTTTTGCTTGGAAAAATTACAGCCTTAAAATTACAGCGTCGAGTTTTGTAACGCTTCCACTGTACGCGGTTACACTGTGCGAATGGAATTTATAATTATCACCTCTCTCCGTTTTTTCCTTGGATCGTTATATCCGGCGCGTAACAATCTCATGGACGGGTCTTCGGCTTACGTTTGACCCTTTTTCCGCGTCCATGTTTTGACGAACTTGCGTGCGGTGCGACAGGTGTAGCGGGCCCCTGTACGGTTTTACATCGCGTAATTATTATTACTATTAACGGGCGCTCTTTGGTACACACGGGTCGGAATACGAAGAGCGCATAGAGAATCAGAGGAGAGCTCGTAGGTCGTTACAAATTTAATTACATTAATAATTCCGCTTAAAACGTTCGAAAGGTCGGGAGAAGCGAAGAGGCTCGCGAGACTCGGCGGCATTTTGAAAAACTCGATCCAGCCAGTTAATAATCATCGTGCGTTTATTAATGCAAATTGCGTCTATTCATCTATTGCTTTTTCACTCGGTCACTGCATTCGTTTAATCGGCACATAAATCTCGCGGCGTTTCATCATTATTGTCGTTACGTGTCTCTTTTGTTGGCATTATTCCATGCACAATTTTCAGTACCGGCGAGGCGATACTCGCGAAGCGAACAAATATATCGAAGTTTATTTTCGGGGGAGAAAGTGGGAAAAGGGAGAATGGGGCTGGGAAATTTTCCTAATCTCGCCACCACTGTGTCCATATAAACCACTTGCCATATAAATAAGCAGTTAAACCGGCGGTTAAACCAAGAGCCAACGGGATAAACGAAACTGACTTTACATTTGCCTAACGTTGCTCGCTCCATATTTACATAGCTCTTTCCGCCGTGCGACTCTACGACGGAAATAAATAAATCGGCCGGTCTCGTTTCACCGGAACAGTCGCGTAGCAGAGTCGGGGAAGGTGAGAGACGGACACACGAGTCGTGTTCCGAGTAACGCGAGTTACTCGGCCAGGCCGCGAGGCTAGGCTAGGCTGTTGTAAACAAAGGTGATTTTCGGACGAGCCGAAGAGTGCCGAAGCGAGGACTCGGCTAATGGGTGAAAACGGTGACTTTGTTCGCAGTTATTGGGCGGTGCTTGCTTCAGCCACGGCCCGTACACGTTCTATAAAGCGGTGAGAATAGGGAATGGTCGTGTACTACGTCTCGGGAGCTTCTTCCTCACGAAACTGTGGAGCGATGCCGACCTCGTCAGCATCGGGGAACTTCAGCTGCTGTGGATGGACAGCCGGGGGCCGAATCAACCTCTGGCATCTTTACGGCTGTACTTCTTACCGGAGAACACCCCGGATGGCCGAAGGGACACGCACGGAGAGGTGAGTGATTTTTCCCCCTTTTATTTTCTCACCTCTCTCTTTCTCTCTGTCTTTCGCTCTGTCCTTCCGTCTCTTTCTCTCCCTATCTCTCCGTTTCGAGCAGAAATTAGCAGTCAGCTCGGATACCATGGCCGAAGCGTACACACGCGTATTTGTTTCTATTCGCATCGTATATCGTAGGTTGTTCGAACTACAAGGTAGAAAGTAACGTTTCGAGCAATGAATCAGACGGATTGCTTCGTTGCTCTCGTTGTGGAAATAATGAATTAGAGAAGCAATCTTGGTTTACGGCCGTGCGCGCGCGCGCGTACGCGCGTAAATAGTGCGCTGGAAAATAGAAAGTAATATTTAAACCGATAAATCAGCTCGGATTGCTTCATTGTTATTTTATTGTGAAAGTAACATAGTGGAGTTTTGTTTCTCTATAGGTACGGAGAGGTATTATTCGTAAAATAGAAAATCTCTGGCCGCAAAAATAGCGTGGAAAAGTTAATCTCGTCCCGCGATGGAACTCGAGCAGAATTACTCGACTGTAATCTTTTATTCGAGTTAATTGCCCCAGATAAGATAATAAGCAATCTTTTTCCTTTTATAGTTTCGAATATAAAGCAACTTCGTTAATTGAACATGTAATCGACGCGAGGCGACTTTTTCACCAGCGTAATGCGAGAAATAATAACGCGATATTCAAATTTCCGATCAAGAGGCAACGATGAACCCGTCTCGCGATTGATTTCCACGCGATAGTTTTCGAATATATCTCGTCGTTTTATCTCTGTCGTAAACACCTCGAAATTATTAGAAGCGTGACGTAAATAAAGGAACGTTTCGTTGCGCGAATACCATTATAGATAAGACAAAGGATACATTTTGTCAGATATCGTCGATGCTCGTATTTTCATTCGAAATTCAATTTGTCCTCTTCCCAAATTATTTATATTTATTTATTTTTCAACCGAATAAACGACACGAATAATTTTGTTACCTGTTATTTCGATTATGGGCAAAAAGAAATAACTATCGTTATGTTATAATTATTTTTATTCTCTCTTAATCCCTTTAGTGCCGAACGATGATATATCCTTACATATGCAATGACGCCTTATTCTTCGCATTGCGAGAAAGCTCATCTCAAGATAAATTTATAAAACGTTATAAACCGTCTAATTTCATTGCAAAAGAATTTAAAAAATTGTTTTCGGATTTAATTTTTCGTTATATTCTATGCTGGTTGGTGCCACGGAGTCATCCTTTCGTTCTCACGACTGATATTGGTTATTTTATTAAAAATCACCCAAGATGTAATACTTAAACTTCATACTACGTGACCTACACGAAACTGTGATCAAACGATGATTATTCTTATGTGTAGATATTGCTTCTAGAAGAGAAATTTCTTTCTATGTCTTTCATCGTGTTTTATATCGATGTTATTCGTACGATTTTCAATGAATATTGAAACACAATTGGCATTACGTTATTCTCCCTTTCTTCAGTAATATGCTGCATTTTGAATTTTTTAAGTATCATTCTTAGTTTGGTTTTTATTTAGTAAATTCGTCCGGTTATCTTCGCATAGGCATCTGTTTTTCGCTCCTGTTTTTCGCACTAAAAGGGTTATGGAAGGTATATCTCAAGTATTCCGACTGTTCGCGTAGAGAGTGAAAACTAGAGTGAAGAAAAAGGGTATGCGATTGCAGCTCGTCACCTAATTCTTATCCAACGTGTGAAATAAACTTCACGCATTCCCGGAACCTCTTCTGCGCATAGTTTAAAGATATATCTATTTCTCTTGACAGATTAATTTTTGTATATTGTGTGGTAAAAAGGATCGGGTTTATAGAGATTTGGCTTGAAGCTTTGATTATATTTTATTCCCTGGCGGTACAAGTGCGTGGAGGCTTGAGTCTTGTGCGATGCGTGATGCAGACGGTAAATTGTCGAAAGAGAGTATGTGTTCCCTCGAACCCTTCAGCCAGGTTCTTATAGGCACTATGACGATCCATTGCGTCACTCAGTCTTGCTTCGAAAATTGATAATTTTGATGGTTCCTCGAAGCAAACATAGATCCCGATGCAGGGTGACTCCTCTCACAATTCGATACGTTAAGACGTACCTTATTTTCAATATCTATGATAGAAAATTGCGCGTAACTGAGCTACGTTTAGCAATACAGTAGAAACAATGCTACGATTTTTGGCTATCTTACAATTGAATTGGATCTCCTTGACGATGAATCGCAGCTGATAAGTAGCCGATATCGTGATTAGCATCTGGTTGGAAACGATTTAAAAGATCGTCGAGCTGATGGCGAGTGTCGTAATGCCAGAATTTTTCTGAATTCTGCCGGCTAATTTTAGCGATGCGATGCAACCTTGATCTAATTCATTGCTCGACCACGTTGCTCGAAACAATTCTATGCTCGACGCTGCTGGACGGGCACCGACGCATAGTATCGTGCAAAAATCTTGCCTAGCTCGAAACGTCGTTACGAAATCAAAACACAGCTCTCGATACCTTCCTTTAGTTTACATAACACCGAACGCGATCTAACGCGTTTCGACGTTAACTCTGCGATGATTACCCGAGGAACTCGTCCCTCTTCCATCCTCGTCCGACTCGATAATCTCGCGATATTTATTTCGACGTGCGACAGCTAATCGTACACGGATAACTTCTCGACGTGTCAACCTTCTCTGACACGCTCAGCGTGTTTCTTCTGCTCGTCTCCTCTTAGTTTCTTTTTCTTCGCGATCCAGGAAAGAGGAGAACTCGTTGAAAGGAAGGAGAAAAACGTGGGAAATAGGAAAAAAAGAAATGGCGATCGGTACTGGCTGGAAATAAAGAACGCGCTAGTGGCGCCGCCTCATCTAAAATTCATCCCGGGCGAAAAGTCGCGAGGCGAATAATTGTGATTTAGTCGGTAACACTGGAACGCGACGGTTCCACAACGAGGAAATGCTCTTTCGACGTCGTAAACCGGTTTACATTCCGTTTTTTCCACATTGCTCGGACATTTCATCGGCAAAAATGCCATATTCGCGCACGGTCCCGGGGATTTTTTCGCGTCGCGACTGACCATTGACCCCGTTAAATTCTACGCCGACCAAAAATTTCGTTTCCTTCCAACTCTCCTATTTTTATCTCGCATCCCTCCTCTTATCCCGCGATCGAATTAATCCGACAATAACGAACAGCGTCCTTACGTCCGGCGTATGCATTAGTATCGCGATCCGCCTGGCCATTTTCGTGGTCATTTTCGTGGCCGGGGATCAAAGGTACGGTTTAACTAAAATTAATCTGTCTTATAATAACGCGATTACCGCGGCCACGATAGTGTTCGGGGCACATTCGTGTACTCGGAATCAAATTCACCTTGTATTATGCTAACGACATGCTAATGGCCCCTTCTTTAACGACCGTTTCCTTTTGTGCGTTCGCTTTTGATTCCTCGAGTTCTCCTCGCCGCGATCCTCCTGGCTTCCCATCTGGCGATATTAATTACGAAATATCGTATCCGCCAGGCGTTTTGAATAACGAAACAAGGGTAGAAAATGGAAGAAAGGGAATGGAGGGGAGGGACATTAGCGGGAGGAAGAGCCGGCCACTGATAAAATAACAATTTCGAATAAACTTTCGCCCGATTCCAGTCTAAATTGCGCCAGTCTTGTCACTTTTACGCCGGTCTATAAATATTCACGAGCTCCATTGACCAATGGTAACGTAAATCGATGTACACGCGTGACTAGATTCGAAATAATTAATCATCGCGAGTTTACGTATTTGTCAAACGCGAAAAGGTAACGCAAACGACAAAAGCTAACCGGGAGGGGATATCAATTGGGTCGGAGTGAAAAAAGAAAAAAAGGAAAAAGGAAAGGAAAGCAAATACACGCAAAAAGCAAGAAAAAAAAAAGAAAGAAAGGGGGCGGGGGGGAAAAAATTGAAACGAGAAACGAATGGCGGGAGTTGAAAAATTCATGGAATTCCGAGGCACGCTCGCGAAACAAAATATAGATTTATTTCCCCTTGCTAATAGAGGAACGCGAAAACGAGTAATCGGTGTTATCGAATTTTTTTCTCCCCGGGAACGCAATGCGCGCTCGATAATTCAATCGAGACTCGATAATTTCTTGAACGAAAACGACCGATATTCTTCGGATACGCGCGCGTTCCGTTTGCATAAATCTATTAAAATTCATAGCCTTCTAATCAAGTGATTCTCGCCGGTTGTCATAATGAAGAAAGAGAGAAAAACGAATCGGCGATGAAATCGTTTTTATCGTTTGAAAAAGTACGCTCGAAGAAACAAAAAGAAAAAAAAAAGGAGAAAAATAGAAACGAAGCAAAAATGAAGAGAGGAAAGAGAGAAAAGATCGAGAATGAAAACGCGATGGAATTAAATGCGAGATATTAGGAGAAATAAATAGCGGTTGGGGGGAGAGGGGGGAGATAGGGGAGAAGACGCACGAACAGGGAATTATGAAATACTCTATCGTGGAATTTGTCGAGATCGTAAAAGTACGATATTACGTTTACATCGTTTACGTTTTACAACGAATGCCTAACCCGATTTTTCACGGGGAAAAAAGGAGGAAAACGCGAAAGTAGTGGGAACGAATGTGGATCCGCGTGTTGTTCCCGTGGTTTTCATACTTGCCGGATTTTATTCAGAACCGTATTTGCATTCTCGTTATTTTTTTGCCCAGCACCCCGCTGTTCGTCGGGGTCTATGTGAAATTCAGAGTGTCCCATACTTACGATTCGCCTGCCGTCTTCTCTGTTCGCGTTAAATTCTACCCCTTCCAAGGTGGCTAGATAACAGACGCATAACCAACGTGGAAGCCGGTAAGGTTAATTTCGAGCACTCGAAATTAACGTCGGATGGCGTCTTTTTCGTTAACGGGTCTCACAGTTACTCCGGCTAATCGGTAAGTTCCGCGAATTACTTTCGCCGTTATTTTCGCGATAAATCACGGGGAAATGAAATTTATAGGTAA